ATGACACGCAGCGGCTTAGCTCTCCGGGGGTGACGGGGGGGGGTGGCACAGCCGCAGGGCAGGTCCCCCTTCGCTCACAAAACCTTTCGATCAGCCCGCTCAAAAGTACAGCATGAGACATTTTTCGGTGAGCCCTCTTATTCGTCCCTAGACCAGCGCCAGGAAGAGGAGGAGGAGGAGGATGGAGGAGGAAGCGACAACAGCGCGCCGTCCTCCGTCGCCCCCAACCCTAAGAGCCCCGGGACGGCCCACGCACGACCCCGGAGGATCTCGGACCTTTATCGCCAGATAAGGGCCGCAGGGCCACACGCCGGCGCGTCGCAATAAAACACGGGACACACATCCTTAAAAAATAAATAAAACAAAAAATCCTTGAAAAATCCTTTCAAAAAGCCATAGGTAAAAAACAAAAGCAGAGCTATAGCAACTAAGAAAAATAAAACACCAAAAAAAAATCTTTTAAGGGACACATCAGTTTTGTGTCGCCCCGGCGCGGCGGCGGCGGCGCGGTGGCGGCGGCGTCCCCTGGTAGTGGTGGGTGCCCCCCCCCCCCCTCTCGGGCGGGGGGACTGCGGCGCCAGAAATGCTCGATTAAATTAATTAGTGGGACAGAGATGGCGATGGCATCGCGGGGCGTGGCGGGGCGTGGCGCCTTTGTGCCCGCGGCGCCTCCCGGGCACCTCACGGGCAACCCCCGCGGGCCTCCCGCGCCCCAGACATCAAATTAAAACTGTTCATGACGCCAGACTTCAAAACGGAGGCGGCGGCGTAGGAAGTCTCCCGGCCTGGCCCGGGCCGCGCGCTCGATTTCATGTTGCGATTGCATTTATATTTACGTCATCACGAGTGGGCCTTTCTTTTACATTTCCTGCGGCGGCGGCGGCACACGGCTACGGCAAGGCACTTACATATCTCACTTATTCGCGTTACGCTTGCTCTAATATGTCGTCGGCGACGTCGCACTCCATTAGAATCATATTGCCCGCCTCAAAGACGGCCGCGGCCTCGACCCTCTTGGACGCCGAGGCGACGGCCACCTCAGCCACCAGGTCCCCCCC